AAAACCAAAAAAAGTAGCAACTCCCAATATCTACTAAAACTAAAAGTAATAATTATGCTTCATATCGAATGTGCAAAATCAGAAAAAAACTTAAAATTGGTCAAATTTCTGGCCTAATATAATACAAATGAAAATCTATCGGGCTAGTTTTATGCTACTTATTATATAAAATACGTAATCAATTTGGTACTAGAGGTAAGCGTTAGGCGCCATCTCTTATTAATATTAATAATTATAAATAATTTTAATTAATTTAAATAATTTGGAACCGCTGGGAGAAAAAATCGGCCCGGAGCGGGACTCGAACCCACAACTCCTGCTTACCGTGCAGATGCGTTGCCAGTTACGCTACCCGGACCTCCGATCCGATCTCCTCTTCCAGCGTATATAATCTAACTACTTAACCATCGACGGTTATTACAACGCCGGCTGGGGACACATTCAGTGCCCACGTCCTACTTCCCATACGGCTCTCAACCGGCCATCGCAAGCCCCGGCAAGGCGTAATATATATACAAACATCTCCAACCCGATATATAATTATAGCTACAACCAACAGACTGCCGAAAATCTATCGGGCTAGTTTTATGCTACTTATTAGATAAATTACGTAATCAATTTGGTACTAGAGGTAAGCGTTAGGCGCCATCTCTTATTAATATTAATAATTATAAATAATTTTAATTAATTTAAATAATTTGGAACCGCTGGGAGAAAAAATCNAGTTAGATTATATACGCTGGAAGAGGAGATCGGATCGGAGGTCCGGGTAGCGTAACTGGCAACGCATCTGCACGGTAAGCAGGAGTTGTGGGTTCGAGTCCCGCTCCGGGCCGATTTTTTCTCCCAGCGGTTCCAAATTATTTAAATTAATTAAAATTATTTATAATTATTAATATTAATAAGAGATGGCGCCTAACGCTTACCTCTAGTACCAAATTGATTACGTATTTTATATAATAAGTAGCATAAAACTAGCCCGATAGATTTTCGGCAGTCTGTTGGTTGTAGCTATAATTATATATCGGGTTGGAGATGTTTGTATATACAAATGAAACTCAAACTATACCATAATTTGCAATCAGCAACTAAATACAGAAAAAATGTGACTTCCTACAGCATATTTGAATCAATACAATCTGAAATTATAATACTACCATTACTAAAATACATATACTATTCTTTCTAACATAGGATTAAAAATATATTTACGAAGTTAAGCATGTAGACGTTACAATTTCATATTCCTAAATCATTGAATTTACAAAAATGATTATTTCTTCCAAAATTCTAGGCTAATAATAAAAAATCAAATTTTATTACTTTTTTTATTGTATGAAATTTGCATTAAATCAATTCATCTACAAATGTATTTATAATAAATTATCTTTCTTTAAATTTGAAAAAAATATATTATTTTGTATTCAAAGTCCTTAACAAGTACAAAAAGTAATCATAAATTTTATGGGCTGTAAGATTAAATACAAAAAATTAAGGAAAATACAATAATAATAATGAAATTTTATTATTTTTCAGAGGGTCTTTAAGCAAATTTTTTTACAAATAATTTTATTTCTAATTTTACTCATTACCTTTCTCCTTAAAGCTAAATAATATTTATGCTTAATACATTTTATAATAAAATAAATTACAATGACAGTACCTAAATTTTATTATTAATTTGATATTACTACTTAAAAGAATTTATGAGTAAGTTTTTAACATTTTCAATTGCTTTAATCAGACTTTCAGCTTGGAAGCAGAACTCTCTCCCTGCAGACTTGAATAAGGTCAATTAACAAAGTCAAAAATATTAGTTCTTTACATAAATTCACTGCTTTAAAAGATTTACTGTTAACATTGTTCTAACCAATTTTTTTCTTGCTAAAATCTAACTTAATTCTGAATGAATAATAAATTTTATCAGTATAAATGCATGGTAGGGACCTTAACAGAACTGTAGATGAAACCCGTAGGAGTGAAAAAATCAAAGGAACAGTCGAACTACAAGAGACCCTTAACAAACCATAGCCATCCAATATTGGGCCTACCTAGAATTTTGGACTATCAAAAATGGGGTAAAATTTAAAAGTGAAAAAATCTTAAATTATTTCTCAAAACAATACTAAAAATCAACCGTTTTCCAATTCACTAGAGATAGCTAAAAGCTTAAAATATAAGAAATGCTATTGCACCAACTACTTCCAGAGCACAATCAGAATCATGCTGTGTGCTTGATAAGCCTATTATAATATGTTTAATTGGGTGATTTCAGAGAAGGCTACATCTTACAAAGGGTCACATGAAGATCAACTGTTCATTTGAGTTTTTTACTCTTATGGGCATGATCTACACCAGGGATGGGCAACCTTTTTCTATGTAAGGGCTGCATTTCAAAACCTTTGAACTGATGCAAACCGCATACAAAAAAAAAGCCGATAAATTACAATTATTTATTCACATGTAATTATAAATTAGCATAAGTATACTTAATTTAGCTTCTGGAACTGATGTAATCGTAATATATTGGAAATATTCAGTTAAATATTAGTTGCTGCTAGTTTTTAATTTTTACTAAATTCATTGCAGAAAAACTATTCACATACATAAGTTGTAGAAAATAGCATTTGAACTTTTGCTGTATACTGTACTTCCTGAAGCTGGGAAATTGATATATTTATTTGTATTTTATGTGATGCGGGCCACGAAAAATATTAATGCAGGCAACATTCAGCCTGAGGGCCGTGGGATGCCCATCCCTGGTCTACACTTCTGATAAGGTCCCAACTTTCTTATTCAGAGCTAAATTTTTACCATTCTATCAATATATGAATGATTCAAGCATAATAATCATAGATTTTTGTAATTTAAACTGATTAGTATTTTGTAAATTAAAGTTCTTTCTTAACTGAAAAATCTTTAGTTCAAAAATACTTCTATTAAGAAAAATTTGATACATAAAAAAATTGATAAATAAATCTAAAAAACTACGTTTAAAAAAAGATTCTTATTATAAATATTTAAACACAAGATAAACAGATTTTTGTTTTGTTGGTTTAAATTCAAAACTATTGAATTATTAAAAATTTCATTAATTTTATACAGTGAAAAGCTGAAAACTTTGCTTTTATGATGATAAATAGCATAATAAATATGAATTTTATTTTTTTAACTCATCACACATCTCCCTTTGCTTAAAATGTAGTTTGCACATTTCAATTATAAATGTCTTACTACGAAAAAAAAAAAACAAGGTAGGAATTAGATGCTTTATGTTCTGTTTAAACAAAACAAAAAAAGAAAAAAGAAATAATAACTGATGTCAGCTGTTGAACCATCAATTGTAACAACATAATAAAAGGTTATGGTTTTTTTTATATTCATGGATGTATTAATTTAAATATAGTTCAACTTTCAACTGTTGCAAGTGTTTACAGTAACATTAGTATAGAAAAACTACAGATAAAATATTTTTATTCAATTATAGCTATTTATTTAATCACTCTTAAAGAAAGCAAATAAAAAATTTACTTGGCTGAAATTACTCAAAATAAATTAATGTTAATTAGAACTTCATTAATAAAAAAAAATCTTTAAACATTAACAACTGCTAGTAAGAAAATAGATTAAATATTAAACTAGAATAATTTAATTAAACTGAATTTTCTCAAAAAATTAATCAATTTATATATAAAATTCTAATTAGTTCAATTTAAATTTCATAATTTATTTCAGTTTATAAATTAAATAAGCATGTTGGAAACAAGAAACATACCTAACTCAATTTGTTTAAATGTTAAGAAGTGTGTATGGTATCTTCTTATATTAATCTTTCTAAATTTTGGTTCAATTACTGAAAAATTGTCTTATTAAGGTATGGATGCAACTCTGAATAAAATGGTTGGGACCATATCACAGCTGCAGACCATGCCAATAGGAGTAAAAGAGTCAAATGAACCAATGGTCTACAAGTGACCATTTGCAAGATATAGTGGTTTAGTATATAGATATTCTCTGAAATGCAGTGCAATGGCATTTCTCATGTTTTATAAGCTTTTAGATATTTTTAATAAACTGGAAAACAGTTGATTTTCAGCATTATTTTCAGAAATAGTTCCAGACTTTTAAGTTTTACCCAATTTGTGAGGGTCTTGTAAATTCACATAGACCAATTTTTCCTTTGACTCTTTTACTCCTATGGGCATGAGCTACAGCTATAAGGTCTCATTCAGAGCTGCATTTCTACCCTTATGAATGATGTTAATAATAGGCCTATACAGAATGAAAAATATGGTAGTTAATTAAACAAGCATAATAATTAGAAATTGTCAATTAATGATGACTTGATACCTTCCAATGTCAAATATAGAATAATTAAAAACTATCAGTTACCTCTACTGAGAGTAAAATAGGCAACAACTGTAAACTTAATTGAGTGAAAATGTAAATGTATATTATAAATTATTTTCTTTTTCATGACAATAAGGGAATTTAATTCATAAACACACAAATTACAAAAATAATTGGAAATCTTTACAAGTAATAATCATGACTACAGTTGAATTCTGATTTGCTATTTTATTTAAATGCTTTCAATTGTTTTCTTGATATTCTTAAAGATGCATTTTAGAATATCATTGACATTACATTAAGTTTAGTTAAATGCTCTTTATTCCCATAATTATTACAAATTAAATATTGAGATTACATTAAATATTAATATGATAATGTGTGTCACTATACAATAACAATGGCTGTAATAAATTTAACCTAATTTTTCTAGTCAGATGGCCGAGATAGTGCAGGTGTCTACCCACCACTCTGAAAGACCTGAATATATCAAGTCCAATTCCTCACTACTGGTTGACCGTACTATGAGTCAGATTCACTTAAAATATGCAAAATGAGAGTTGCTCTATATGCTGATGCACTGCACAAACAAATTAATCATAGAGAAATAGTTTTAAGATATGACACAAAAAAATAATAAATTTTTATACCTATTAAAAAGTCCAGAAATATGTCCAGAATACTTTTTAGATGTAGACGTAGGTTTTATCATATTTCTGCATGACAAATGATAGATACATGAAAAAATTCAATCAATACAACATAAAATATTTCCTGCAAATTCCTACCATTTATGAGATAGAGAACTTTTGATTTATAGCTGAATTAATTACTTGCACTAATTATTTTCCATTTTGAGTTTTGGAGATTGACACATTAAATCATACTGTACTTTCCAACTATAGTTTCATTTGCATAATTTCATAGTAAGATTTGAATAATGAATAAAATTATATTCCACTAAGTTAATGTTTTAAGATTTATTCCTGTATTTATGAATATAACTAATTTTCTATATGAATGTTGGTAGAGAGACAAATTAAGTCAGAGAATATTTTGTGTAAACATGTATACTATGCAAATCAGCAATGTATAAAAGACTACTGCAAGCTAATTTTCAATTCTGTTGGTCAGTGTGTAGCTGTTGAATTGTAATTATTGGTGCTAACTGAATTTTTATTCTACTAGAATATTTTCTTGAATAAGGTTAAGTATTTAAGATTTTGAATAATTGTAATTTGTGCTTTTAGTATTAACTAATTTTATAATTGTAAGAAGAAAGTTAATACTGTAATACTTTGTTTTGTAGTCAAGAAGGCTAGTACTGGCATTTTTAGTTTATAATTGATAAAGTTATTAATTCTGTTTAATTAAAGTTATTAAGTCTTTCATCAAAGTTTATTAAGTTTTGACCTTCATTATTCAAGTCTTGGTTTGAAATTATTCAAGTGAAACTCTAGTTGGAAAATGATGAGATAAGAATTGACATTTAATACAACTAAATCCTCAAAACTTGATTTTCCAGTTTGTTTCAATGTAACTAATATATAACTATAAATCAAACATTGTCTTGCCACCTCACTCAATAAGCTTAATATCACGATTATTATGTGAGAGCTAAGTAATTTTCTTAAAACTCAACAGAATTTTACATTTTATACAAATCTACAAATGTTTTTTTGAATAAGAGCTATAAATGCTAAAAATAGTCAATTGACTTTGCTTGATTGATCAGTAGACGTAAGACATCAGCACGTTACACCCATTTTCTCAGCCAAAACTTTAAAGTTCAGGCTCACTTTTAATGGGTAATGTTATCGGCAAGCATAGAAGACGAACAGAGAACAACACTCAGATCCATGGTTCCCAGTTCGGAGTTTAAATCCAATCCACATCCATCACACTATGATTCACGCCATTATACAACTCATTACCATCATTTGCGTCATACTACACAATAGAATTAACATGTGAGTGGTCTAAAGGATCTCTTTTACAATAGCCAATCGGTCAAACGAGCAAAAATTGGTAAAAAATGGGACACTGTCTCTTAATAAACTGATAAAACAGTTGGCAAAAGAGCACAGACGATTCATTTGCCAAGCCAAACAATTAGGCTACTTTAACGCTACCATTAATTTAATTATTAGTAGTAGTGGTAAAGCAGCCCAATCAATCTGGCAATCGTTTGGCTTACGTAAACATTACGTTTTTTTTATATATAAGTTGGTGCGCCAACACAAGCCTAGCTATGATATGTACTAGAATCAGATCCAGTCAGAGGCTAACAACTTACTGCACAGCCAGTAATTGAACTCCACAAAGCTTCTACACTTTTAATAGTTTTATTTATTAACTTAATCAACTATTTGGTTTCTTAGGAGGCAAGTACATTACATAGAAATTTAAACATGGAAGAATGTAAATTATGTGTTAAATGAGTAATTTTAAATCAAGTAATGTAGTAAATACAAAGTCTAAAGTGCAGTTTTGTTTGTTTAAGAGTGATTTTAATGATTAAAACATAAATAGAAGGTGTTTGATATCATTTATAGTTAAAAATAACACAACTTACTTAAATGAGTTAAGAAGGGAATCGAATTAATAATAAATAAATCTTCTTTTCTTTAATAAAAGACTTTGAAAGGCCGGCTTCTTCGCTAGGCCTAAAATTAAGCCTATGGATTATTTGCGTTTATCATCTCTTCGATCATCCGCATTCGTTTCCAACAATTGTCAATCGAATCTCGACGATGTTTTATAACTTAACTTGAATTTATTAAAACCAGTTAATCGCAATACTTTTACTCGATGACGCTTTTAGTTTACTTTCTCGTCGGACGTATTTCACATCAATCGTCTGCCGTCTGACGTCATTGTCCGCTTGGAAAATTATGGAGAAAAAAAAATATATATATATTTTTTCGTTTATTAAATTTATTATTATTCTTATTTTATTAACTTTTGTAATTTTTAAAAATTATGAATACAGTTTGTGGAAGAAATAAACTATTAATGTAAATGAATACAAAAACTAATATATAAACTAATATATATATATTTTTCTTGTAAATGATCATAGGTGGCGAACAAAACCGAAGCATTTTGGAAAATTATTTAATCGTGCGCCATCTGTTGACGAGTATAATAATAAAAATAATAATATTCGTAATATTTTTATTATTATTATTTTTTTTTTATTTAAGTTTAACACCAGTCACCTACTGTGATTCAACTTAAGAATTAATTTCGTTTCCTTATAAAATAACTTAAAAATATGATTTTTTAAAATATGTTTACACAAGTTATTTTTAAATTAAACACAATCAAATTTTCATAATGGCTGGTTGGAAGGCGGCAGCTTATTGCTCCGAGTTCCAGACAAGGCCATCGGACGGTTTTCATCGGAAGGCCAGGCCCACGCAATAGACTACCCTATTGCGTGTGCCTGGCCGAAACCATAATAAATATGATTTTATCTCTTAGATATTAAAGATTTTCTTAGAAAACGCGCTTTTACTGAAAACTATAATAGATCTGGGCTGGAACGTGGGCAATGGGATGACAGTTTGCTTTCCGGGAGGAGACTTTATGGCAAACTGGGCCCTGTTTAGGAATTACAAATGTGGAAAAAATCTCAAAAATGCTACGTAACCAGCCCGTTGGCGAAGCGCAGACCCACAAAGTTCAGTTGCTTTATCCACTCGGGGACTGGTGGGCCAAAATACTCGGTACTACCTTTCCCGGTTCATTGCCTTACGATAGCTGTTACATATGCTATGCGGATTATGTTCCTTTCGCGCCTTAGACGCAATTTTTTTACAAGGTTTTTTAATATATTAAAAAAATAATAATAAAATGCTTAAATAAACTTTTCAACCCGAAATGCATGTGTATTGGAAAAAATTGAATAAATTGTACGTTTTTTTGTAATTCTTGAAGTCCCTCGAGACGACGAGGCCCTAGGCGCACTAATTCACTGAATATCCATATAGCGGATTTAACCGTATTTTTACTTAAAAAGCAATTTTTTGGCTATTTAAATACACTTGTAACTTCTGCCTTTTCTGATCATTTTTCTTTATTCATAACTTTCATTTGTAAGCTTAATTATGGAACAACCCTGACTACGGAATCTGCCAGCATGACTATCAGACACGATACTCCAAACACTTTAATTAATGTCTGTGATGTAGAGACATCATTTATTGCATGTTTAATGCTCTCTGAGACCTCTTATAAAGTTCATATTTGCGTTAGAGAACTAAGTAAGTTCACTTTATAATTAATGAGACATGTTGCAACTTTCTGGAATGACACTGAGTTAAAGACGAAGATCAACCAGATTAGATAATCTGGTTGATCTTCGTCTTTAGATACCCGAATTTTACCTATTACAAGAACGTAAAAACCCAAGTGAAACAGTCAATAAGTAACAGAATAAAGGTAATTTTGAAGGAATATGCAACTGTTTGGGTTAGATTATATATTTTTTTGTAGAGGAAGTATTTATCTCTGTTCCTCTTCCTAAGGATATCCCTTTGAATTGCTGTTTTCTCTTCATCTTTACCGATTAAAACACTTTCGTTTGAAAAATGGAAACGTTACAAAGCTCCTATTTTTTATTTTTTCTGCTTGCAAGTACAGTTTTTTCAGGTAAACAAAAATATTTTTATAAGTTCTAGTTAATTATAGATCGTCAGGGTGAGGTTTTCAGACCATGTTCCTATAATTCCAGATAATGTCAAAGAAGCTAACGAATATATGGATCTACTGTTGGAAAATCTAAGAAACGATCCCGTGATCGCCAAAAAAGTGGAACCAATTCACGTTCCTAATGTCAGAGAGAGCACATTCGAAGGTAGAAACATATACATCAAAGGATTATCAAACCTTTACAGATTAGAGGACAGCCAAGTTGAGGCCAAAGGGGATAAAGTATACGTGACTTCTAAACTGGGAGTGGCTAAAATTAGATTTAATATGGATTACAAAGTTAAAAAACCCATTTTACCTATCTGGATCAGTGGTAAAGCGGAAGGGAAAATTGACAACGTAAGAGTTCGCTGTGTTGTCGGAGTATCTTCACTTGACGGAACTGGAAAAGTGGAAGAATTTAAAGTAATACATTTTGGTAGATTTAAAGTTACTAAAGTCAGAGGTGCCACAATTGCTTTCAATTGGTTATTGGCTATTATAACAAATTTCATGTTTAATCACTCCAAAGGGATGGTGATTGAAGGTATTGAAAATGGCGTATCAAACCTGCTTCGAGATAAACTGAATGAAGTGAAGATAACATCGAGAAAATTAAAATCCAGATCTTTATAGTCCCATACAGGGTCTTATAACCTATATCTAAATTATATATATTTTTCATTTTTTACGAGAATCTATGGTTATACATTAATATCGTGTAATTACTCGTGTAATAAAACTTAACAAAGTTCTCTATTTTATTTCTTGAGCAAAATTTAATTAATATAAGTAGGACATGAATCTTTTCTTTTAAATTTACTTTAGTAAATTTAGTTTATAACTATTTTAATTTTTATTTAATTTGATTAACGTTGTAAACATCTTGAAACATACATTATACTAACTAAAAATATGATAAGATGCGGGTTTGTAGTTAAAAATATGGCAAAATAAAAATGAAAATTCGAATTCTTAACATTAAAATAGGGTGATTCAAAAATGTACATAAACGGAATTGTGACGCATCTTTCAGGTGCCTTATAAGCACAAAATTGCATTTGCCATGAATGGGTCATAGCTTTACAATACTATAAATAAACTCCAAAATATATGTAAACAAGACTTCATTAATTAAAGTATGGTCATACCTGAACAATAGACTTGGGGCTCGTCTTCTCAGGAGTTTCATATTACTGCTCGTTACTATATTTTGTTCTACTTATATATGCACGATTCCTTTGAAGAAGGTGGGCCAGAGGACTGAAAAATGCTTAAAATAACCTGGGTGTCAACATATATAAGCTCTGATGCTCCATAACATTGATAACCTGATCTCTGAAACGAAAGATCCATTGCGCCTTATAAGAAACATGATTAATACAAGAGACTGAAGCAGACATAAAGACACGTGAGAAAATTTAATGAAATATGATGACATTCCACTGTTAAATACAATTATAATGTCGATAAATTAAGTAATGATTTATGTTTCATTAGTCGTTTAATTCTATTTAATCGAATTTAAACGGCGATGGTAGAGCTATAAAAACTGTTACAGCGTTATATTACTTTTATTGTGCTGAGATAAAATAGATTGTTGATTGAAATTTATGGCCTTGTAATACAAAATTTATTTGCTTAGAATTATGTTTTACTAAAACAATAATGTTTTCTAATTCGTTCTATTTCTTGAGAAGTAAATTGGGTCACCTAAATAAGTAATGTTGTCTCTTCTTATCGAAATTCTATATAGATTAGTACAGACACGGGATATCCTATTGATTGTATCACTGTTTTCCTGCACTTTCTTCGGGCGGTATGGAAATGAGTCGCACATCATCTAAAAATAAGAATAAAAACTAAATATTGTGCATTGAATACTTCGAAAATTACTTTAAAATATTAATAATTCTGAAAATTGAACTCACATCTTTAAAAATTAATTTGCTAAATTTAATTAATGCTTTTCATGTAAATTGTTTTAATGTAGTTTGACTTTCCCGGCAGTTATGTATACATAACAAGAGAAAGTATTCGAATTGTATGAAATTTGACCCTCTGGATTTTTTGGAAATCTTCACATTTTGAGACCTCCTGAATCCAAAAATGTCAAAAAAGAAGAAAAAATTCCGTGGATCTCGGTGTGTGTGGGTGTGTTGGCGTCTATTCCGTTTAATATCTCAGGATAGGGTAAAGATTAATAAACGAAATTTGCCATGATAACTTGTGTATAAAGAGCATTGATGCAATTAACAAATAACAAAAAGATTTTGACTTTTAGACTATTCTTCAAATATATAAGAAACTAATAAACGATACTTCTCCATTGTCTCATGCAACTTCGTCGTATGTTGGAAATGAGGAATGTTCCTTGTTTTGAACGCCATGTTAGCTCCAATTGCAACCACTCCACCTTATAGGAGCGCTGATTCGATGTTAAATCATAGTTTAAAGCTTCTTGCTTACGGTATGATGCCCTTTTTATAGCTTGTGCCAGCAGTGGTGATATTCGAAATATTTAACAAAGGGTTCGCTAACAGAAATTCTTTCCTTAACAATTTTTTTTTTCGCTCAAATGGTGTATTAGCAACATTAGCGCAAAAACTGAATTTAAGATATCCATATAAATAAAAAAAGATGCGTTTGCAAAATTAAGTCAGTTAAAATTTAACATTTTTTATGCCAGAACTATATATATATTTTTTATAAATAATAATAAAGAGTGTTCAAAATGGTTTATTTTGTACATATTTTATTACGACACGTGTTCCACAGCCATCTTGTATTTTCTGGCGCGCGTGGGATTGTGGAAACTCTCTTATGCTGGGGTGGTATTCTGGTCACCGTCTCTGGTCTCTTGTCTCTCACAAGCCGGTCGCTGATTGGCTAATCATTTGGATTAGCCAATCAGAGANCTCTCTTATGCTGGGGTGGTATTCTGGTCACCGTCTCTGGTCTCTTGTCTCTCACAAGCCGGTCGCTGATTGGCTAATCATTTGGATTAGCCAATCAGAGACCGTCTTGTGAGAGACGAGAGACCAGAGAAGGTGACCAGAATACGGCCCCTGCTGGATCTAGTTTCAAGAACTCTCTTGAGTCGACCGCGATTGAACCTCGTTTCAATCTCGATTGAAACGGTCGAGGGAGGTCGCACCAAGGCGAATGCGGTATAAGGCTCTAGTTTAGTAGTGTTACAGAGTATAATACGTATATTTTAATATATTTTTTAAAAGAAAACCACTGAGAAATGTTACGTGTGTTTAACAAGGTTCGGAAAACTTTGAAAATGTTAACAACGGGTTCGGTCGAACCTGGGCGAATAGTGGTGACCAGACCCTAAACACCGGAGTTCGATCGGGGGTTCGCGCCTCACTGACGAGCTGGCAGCGGGAGTTTTTTCCGGGTTTTCCTCCTTGCCAATGACGCCTGAATAGGGGCCAGCTTTCCCTCCAAGTCCTCCCGGTAGGCATTCTGTCTCCCTTTCTCGCTGGGGTCGTCTCTTATAAGACCAGCTTTGGTCACTTCGTGACCTCTCTCCTGTCTTCCTCGGATTGGTCGTCTTCTATAAGACCGACTCTTCCTCACTGTTTCTTCTGGAGTGACAAGCGCATAGCAATAACACTCCTCTATCTGGAATGATGATGATCTGGAATGATCTGGAACCTGTGCGAACCCACTGAATATCACCACTGTGTGCCAGTATTATTTCATCAATGTCTTATCAGTATACTTCCTCCGGATAATAACGATATCTACACCATTTTTATTACACGCGTTCCTTTCAACATTGCTTATTTAATGCACAGATATATTTTTTCTAGGATAACTGCAATTTATTTCATCATCAACCGCTCTCTGTTCATTAACAGGAAACGATCTATTCAAGATACTCCGCTTGGCTTTTTCAATGTTAGCCAGGCAAGTTTTTCGATTTCGTCCTTCCATTTTTCATTGGGTTACGTAGTTAAATGTAAAACTACCATATTCACATCATAAGAAGTTAATTGTATAACTTCATATAGTGTGAATATTTTAATTTGTAAATATAATATTAAGTTCTAAATAAATTCATTTATATTTTTCAAAGACAACGTAAAAGGAAAGAGTTATTATATTTTTGCAAAGCAATTTCACAACACTTCCACCGGATATACACGGTAGATTTATTGTGAAATTAAGAATTCCTTAGATAGAATTCGTTCGTCTTAGATTTATATCGAATTTGTACTTTCTTTTCTTCTAACTTCCTCTGCTTAGAGCAACTATAAATAAGGGAAAGCCGCATTGCTTCGAATCATCTGTCATAAGAAAGACGCTTTAACATTCGAAGATGAAGCTCTTAAAAATTTCATATTTTATTTCCTTCTTACTAGCAATTACAGCATTTTCATGTAAGCATTTTTGTTTTGTTGTTTTTAATCGAGATTAATTTGCCATAGTATTAAGCGGGATATCTGAGTAATAAGTTATCAATTTTAACTATGGTTAAAATATGTTTCAGACATGTCCTTTTTTATTGTAAATTTTAAAAATATTGTTAAGAAACATTCGAGTTATTGATTAGTTAACGTGAGGTAGCAGTAACGTAAAGACATAAGGCATATCCAATTTCTCATCACTGTCTAAGCGTCATGGTTGAGGGATTAGAAAATATACATACAGAACAGTAGGTTTTACCTATTGATGTAGAGAAATCTACCACTTGAAATTGTATAGAATTATAGAATTACTAATGCATGAGTTAGGATCGAATTGGATTAATGGGATAAGGGAGCGAGGGAGCGTCACATTTGGGCTATGCCATGCTCCCTTGCCAGATCTTTCCCCGCCAAGAGTCTTCTGAAAAACTTTCTGTGGGATACTGATCTCAATTTAATTGTAGGATACGTGAAGTACCCAAATGCTGTTGACAAGACGTGATTTCACAACCGCATATGCCATGTTCATTGGTGGGCCATAAACTCTAGGAGAAATATATTTATAAGTTATTTATTCTAAAAAAGATTTCAAAAAGTGGCTTCTCGGGATCTGATAGATATTTGTCTTAATTTACACTAAAAAAATGATTTCTTTAGTTGCAGAAAACAATATTGACAGAGCAAATGAAAATATGGATGAGCTGTTGAAAGAACTGGCATTCGATCCTCTGATTACGAAGAAATTGGAACCCCTGCATGTTGCTAATATTCAAAACGGATATTTTGAAGGAAGAAACATATATTTTCGAGGATTATCGGATCTCCACAGATTAGACAATGCCATAATTAAACCAAGACTGAATAAAACATATATATTTTATAAACTGGAAGCGTCTAATATTCGATTTAATATGGACTTCAGAGTAAAGATACCACTGACACCAGTTTGGATCCATGGTAAGTCGGAAGGAAAGTTGGATCATGTAAAATTAAACCTCATAATTAAAATTTTACCGCAAGAACAATTAATAAATTTGTATGAATTTAAAATAACACATTACGGTAACTTCAAAGTTACGCGATTCTCGGGAGTAACAATTTTTTTCAACTGGACATTTAAGATTATAGCCGACGAAATATTGAAGTGCTCTAAAGATGCGTTGAGAGAAGGTTTAAAAAATGGCGTATCAGAAATACTTGAAGAACACATAAAAGAAAATAAAAATGAGTTTTTGTCTGCAATTTTATAGATTTAAAACTTTTGTTAAAAAGGGTAAAGTAAATCTGAATTGGTTTATCATACCCGCTTGTTAACCTTTGTTATTGCTTGATTGCATACAACTCTGTATTAATGTTACCAGTAAATACAGTAAATTGTTATTAAAACCGCTTAATTTTGTATTTAAAATAAATAAAGTGCACATGAAAATGAATATATGCAGTTATTTTTTAAATATTTATTTTTTTTTCGGGTTAATACCGAAGATCCTCGCTTTACGACCGTTTTTGAAGATCTACTGCTAAATTTCCTGTGATGACTTTGTAAATGGCAGACAAATACAGTCCATCCTCGATGTAATGTTCTTCAATGTATTGGGCTTCTAATATTCTGAAATAAAGTCGAATAAATAATTGTAAAATCACACTATACTGCGAAAATTATTTAAGAACATACAGATGGCCGCCTTCGCCATTTAATAGTCTACGTTAGGGGTCCCCAAAGTGGTCGATATCGACCCCTTGGGGTCGATAAGAGTTTTCCAGGGGTCGATTAATACACGAGGGTCAAAAGGGGGTCGATTAATACCAAAGAGGATCAATTAAACTATCTAAGTAAAAAATAGAATATTCCAATAAAAATTCTAAATACGGATATGATCAACAACATTACTGACAACCCTAGTTATACCTTGAGTTTTGCCTTAGCCTACGCCGCTTTAAGCATGTGTTACTCTGTTTTCACGCATCTGGCAACTGTACTAGTGTTACAAACATATTAAGAACACTGGTAGTTCATTACACACAGACATACGTTGCACTGTTACACTCTAGTGTAACAGTGCAACGTATGTCTGTAGGGTTGTCACGCTAAGTATTTTATATCTAAATGTAGATATTTTATCATTTACAGAGAAAATATCGTAATATATCGAAAATCATTAATATAGTACAGAAGCGTTTGCGAGGGGAAAAAAGTTACAATTATTCAAGCTCGAACAATCATAATGGCCTTTCAAGTAAAAATGGAGCTATTTAAATCTTTACTGGCATGATCCAATTTTAAATATTTTTCAAACTTGCGAGTACTAAAAGAAAACGAAAATATAATCTCCATATAAACCAGGGAGGAGACGAAAGAAAGAAAGAAAATGAAAAAATTTCCGACCGTGTTTGGAGATATATATTAAACATATTGATAAATTAAGAGAAGACTTTAAAGCACGTTTCGAAAGAATTGGAGAATATGCATGTTCCCGAATGGTTTGCTAATCCATTTTGATGTAAAAATAGATAATGAAGGTAGTGAACCTGGCTTAGAAGATGAACTGAGTGAAATATGTGTAGATCTCGAAACTAAAACGTTGTTTAAAAATAAAAACCTCTGTGAATTTTGGAGCAATAACAATAATGCCACTAAATATCTTAAGCTCAGAGCAGAAGCCGAACCTTTCTTACTTGCATTCCCAACTTCATACATGGCTGAAGCTGGTTTTAGCCAAGCGAACGCAATTTTGACAAAACAGAGGAACAGATTGAACTTGGAAAACCGTGGTGATTTGCTTAGAAACAGCAAGATTATTGATATTCGGTTGAAAATTGGTAAGTTTTCAACCGAATATCAATAATCTTGCTGTTTCTCTTCAGACACATCCATCCCACTAATATCAACTATTTTAATAAAAAGGTGTGTTAACATACAAGGTCTGTTCAAAAAGTATCGGACCTTTGGTCGGCAAAAATAAATTTATTGACTTTGAGGTACAAAACCCTAATCCCCTTCAAAGTAATCTCTTTGGTAATGTATACACTTCTTCCAGCGTTCCTGCCATTGCTGGAAACACTGCTGGAACGCATCTTTTGGAATGGTTATCAGCCGGTCCGTCGCATTTCGCATGATGTCTTCTCTCGACTAAATTTGGGTTCCTTTTAGCGGCATTTTCAGCTTGAGAAATAGCCAAAGGTCACACGGAGCCATGTGGAGAGAGTACGGAGCGTGACGAACCACAGGAGTATTGTGTTTGGCGACGAAAGCCCGAATCAGATGCGCAGAATGGGCGGATGCGTTATCACGATGGAGCTGCCAAGTTTTGATCGACCACAAATCCCATCGTTTGCATCGCACTGTATCGGAAAGACGACGAAGGACCTCCTGGTAGTACTCCTTTGGGATGGTTTGGCCTTGTGGTGCGTACTCACGACACACCACCCCACGAGAGTAAAAAAACTGTCAACATGACCTTTGATATTGCTGCGGACCTGCCGCGTTTTTTTTGGCCTCGAGGATCGTCCCCGAAAGCCTGCTGAATCTTGCGAATGGTTTACACTCGGGTATCGCCAAGGTTTTTGGCAAAATTTGATGTAATATCGCTGCTCACGTTGTTCAGTCATTTTCCAGCTTAGTGAAATCCGACGAGAGCGCACTACATGACCTCACTCATACGCCGATTGCCAACGACTGACGCTTTCTGCAGGCGGGAAAAAATTCAGGGCTGTGCATGACTGTCCCCTCCACAACTCCACCGAAGGAGGCCTCTCTCGCATCATTGGTTTACGCGGAAAAAAATAAGGTCCGATACTTTTTGAACAGACCTTGTATTTTTAAGGCATTCAGTAGTAGTTGCAAAATGACAGTAAGAGATTTTATTCATCCAATATAACTTATGTTATGTTTTCAAAGATAATTGTGTGTTTTACGTATTATGACACGTACGGTTTAAGAACTATAGGCAAATTTCCATCTATCCATAATTTTGCTATTATTTTTTAAGATTATAAATCAGTGGAAAATATCTCCTTTTTCTGTTAATGTTATTGGGTGGATTTTATAAGAAATGGAAACTATAAAATGTTTTGTTGGGTTGTTATGCAGGTCTCCTTATCGCTTAACACCAGAAATGAAAAATGATATAATGTTTTTGTTAAATATATAGTCTGGGGGTCGATAAGAAGGCAAATTTTCTATAAAGGGGTCGACGGGATAAAAAGTTTGGGGACCCCTAGTCTACGTGTACTTTATTGTTACATAAGGACTATGCTTTACGAATAAATTCTCCACATATTCGTTATATATTATTTATTATTACTTTTTCAGACATCTATTGCTGCTACTTTAGAACAGAACATATTAGCAAGACTTCTCGATGTATTGGGCATTCGCTACTAACCAGAGATCCAGGGAGATGCTTCTGGTGTTGGAGCACTCCGTAATACTAACGCAATCAGTTTTGTTACTTTAAAAAGAACATAAGGGGGAGGTTAAACGAACATACGAAAAGAAAGTGGACTTCTCAAATAAGTTTTGGTGTTGTATATGTTAATGTAAACATGGAGTCGTTTCGGATTTAATATAAGATATACTGTATAATTGTTGTAGAGACATGCAGCCATTGTATAGTTATCTTGTTTACATTATAACCTTCGTATTTCTTTATTATTTAAACACTTAGTGTTAGAGGTGGACTGATGATCGAAATCAGCTTGGAAAATTACTTGTAAACGGCCCACAAATCCATTTTTAATAATGATTAAAACCGAATTTTGTTGTATTTTTCATGTTAGCCTAAAAATTAAAAAATCCAGCAACTTGTTGCGTAACTTTCTCCGAAAAATTTTAAAATTGTGGTGGAGTCATGTGATATTTCATTTTAAAATATATTTATATTATTATTATAAAATGTTAATAAGCTTAATTAATTTTGAGTGTAGAGACGAATTTTATAAAAAAAGAAAACAAAACTATAAATGCAAATATCCAATAAAATCTTTATTAAGTTTGATTTTACTGGAGATACGACACACGATCCTCCTCTATCTTCTCACCCCGTCGACTTTTAACCACCAAATCAATTCCCTAATAAACAAACCTCCTTGCAAAACTTCGAAAGTTTTCGACGAAAAGCACAGAAGTTATTTAGCTTCAAAAATGGTGAACAAAATCGTGCTCCTCCACACACACATTAAGTAATAATTATAAGGAAATAATGGTATGTTGTTGGCCTGTATAGTTGTACTGTACGCTATTATCAAAAATATTCAGACAGTAGATAAAATTTGCACTATGGCGTTATATATAGTCTTATGAGTCTTAAACTAATGGTTTTCAATCGGAGATTCTGTGAAACTGTAGTTTGCCACAACGACACTTTAAAAGTTATTGCAAAGTATAGTGCTGAGGAGTGCCGTAACACTTCTTCGACCGTTGAGAGGGGGAAAACTGGAAATTTGTTCAAAGAAAAAATGGCAAAATGAGTCTGCTAAGGAACAAAAGTATTACTCTACTCTTGGCACCCAGACAAGTGCTGGATTGCCCTTAATTAATACTTATGAGTATTACTAAAAGTACGAGAAAATAAGTAATTTCGTTTGAATTAAGAAATTTGTTGATTTAGTATTTTTATAAATAGGGAATTTATCTAAATTACAGTATTTCTAAACTTGAGAAAAAAATTATGATAGGCAACATTGATGTAAAGAACATCTAAAATATTACAATAAAAATCTAAAGGGTAAACTAGAACTGGCTGACTGATTGTAATTAATGTTTTTTCTTGTGTATTTCTGTTTTCTGTTTATTGTTTGTGTCTGATTTACGTTATTACTATGTGCATGGAAGTTCCCAAATTAAAAAACCCGTTAACTGAGTAAACTATTAATCAAAACAAGTATTCTCTATGGATGCCAAGAACTGTCTTTGAGGAGAGAACAATTAGGGTTATATGGAACTGGATGAACTAGCTGAAAATCATCGTACTTTGAATGCAGTTCTCAACATGAGAGTGCTATTGCAGAGATACAGGAATACATATAAATCTCTATTCTATTAGGACTTGCTTATTTATCTCTATAGGTTCATAACGAAATCATTGACACAATAGGTTCTCTTATTTAGCAAAAGTTAGTTATCATAAAGGATGGCTTTCTAGGATTTATGTTGGCATATGTATATTATTATTACGCTTTATAAAGTTTTAATATTTATTTAATTTATTCGTTGAATTTATTTTTCCACCAATTGGCAACATTGATCCTTCCGCCATTTTATGAAGCGGTACATTGTAATGGTTGTTATAATAAAACTTCTTTCTCAATATTCTATTTTTGTGTTTACTTCTCGAGTAGCCTACCAGCTTCTTATGACTCATCCAACAATTTACCCTTTTAATATAAAGTACTTCGGAAGGCAATAACAACAACCTTGTCTCCTTTCTGAAGGAATTAAAAATTGAAATTCAGTATACGCAAATACATTGTTACGACGATGCCAGTGTGATAAGTTGCTGCTACAGAGGTTCAAAATTGTTCAAAAGGAAACCTTACACATAACTTGTTTTGTCTGATTCTTGCACTGTCCCGGTAATACGAAACGCCCCTGAAACCAGTAAGAAAAGGACTTCTTTTATTAGCAAGTCTGAAAGAACACATAATGAAGTGTTCCATTCATGCCAAACATGTAGACACGTCCAAATCCAATAAACTTTCAACACGGCTTGCAGAACACTATGACTCTGCCTAAGCCATTGATTTACTGTCAGTGGCTTAGACAGATTTTTGAGAATATGGCTGCTGCTCAAGGCAAATTTAGGTAGGGTGAAAAGGCTTCTGCTGCATGTCGTTTATCAGAAAATATTACTTAATTACCGGCACTTTAGAATAATTGTAGTTACCTAACGTTTCACATATTAAACAGTTTCATTATTGAATATTCCTATGGCATTCCTCAAGACCATTTTTTTGGAACTTTTCAGATCTTGTCTATCCAGTCCTCTATTTTCTCCTCCATTTCACTTTTCCTCATACCTTAAAGGAATTCACTTGAAGGGTTTCTTCCTCCTCTTTTGAGTCGTCTTCTCTTGAAATTGCCGGATTCAACTCTAGTTTTAAGCTTCTTTGCCGTTATGCCGTTATCGAATTATTTTAAGATCAACTTTGTATTTCCTGCCAACTGCCATTCTTCCATTATTTTTCTCCAAAACAACGGCTATCAGTTTATATATAAACTTCGTAGACATGAACTTGTTTGCCTTTATGACTAGAAGCAGGGATGATTACTAAATGCTGAAACTACAAAAAATATTTTTGAAAAATTCCGGTAGAAGACAGTTGATTTCATATGACATTGTGTTCTTGATACGAGAATAACTCGAAATTCTCATGAAAAATTTGCTGTTGCACATTATTCACGCGAATTTCGTAAAATTGGAAAATTTTCCAGAAATGTATTGTCATCAACATTGCATCAAGGTCTGAAATGAAATGCGTTCAATATTGATGGCGTAAAATTCTCCAAAATTAAGTAAATTTTATATATCAAACTTTGTAATTTTCGAGGAAATACAGTAAGTGGAATTTAATATATATGCCTAACCGTTGCTTAATTAGAGAATTTTGCAATGTACCAATTTACTAACTATTTATAAATATTTTAATTTTTGTTTATACATATATTATGATAACACGAGTAACAGTTTCATTACAAATTTATAATGATTAATTATAATATACAATATAGGCAATATACATAATAGGCAATATAATATTTGCATGTGATACATATTAATTGAATTATTTATTTGACTTTCGTGATCGTATGTGTTTTTGTATACTGTAATTTCATTGTTAAACATATATAGACTTTACCATATTTGAATCAGTGAAATAATTTATTATAGGAATAACGTGAATAAGCGAGTAATTAATTTGTGTACTGTCCATATTCCGTTTTTTTATGTGTGGATTCAGACAAAATAACAGTTCTAGACATTACTATTATATTTAACTTAATATATTAATTAATAATTAATCTGTACTTTTCGAATATACAGATTGGCATAAAACTGAATTGAACGGCGAGATATACAAATTTTACACAAATATCGTTCAGTTCAGATTTACATTACATACTTGCACCAGGAAAAGAAAGATGTGTTAAACCGGTCCAAGTTCACTCTATTCTGTATGCTAGCGATCCTCATAATTACTTAATTTAAAAAAAAAAACTGTGAATGGAACAAATTAACAGGCCCACCAGAAGCCAAACGGTTCCGTTCCCTGAATACTGGAAATTCGGTTGTAGGTTCGCGCCTCGCTGGAACGGGCTGGCCACGTGGAGTTTTTTGAGTTTTCTCCACGTCTATAAAGCCTGAATAATAGGGGCCAGTTAGCCTTAACAAGACCTCCCGGAAGGCATCACCCAAGTGTTGTTTTGCTTAACTTAACCGTAACTTAACTAAACAAATAAACAATACATAAGGTTCATTTCAAAATAGGAGACCACCAATAGCCGACTGGATAGAACCACTGAACAACGGTAATTGGTTGTTAGTTCGAACCTCATCAACGACCGGTCACGTGAAATTTTACGAGTTTTCGTGTATAATACCTAAACGGAAGCCATTTTTTTGTTAAAAGCCCTCCCGAGAGGTATCTGATCTTGGTGGATTGCTAACGTGTTGAATTGCCTTGTTTTATCGGAGTAAATCGACAGAAAAAATTTCAAATACAATAGTTGTTATTTATAGAATAAAAGGGCATCTATCAACATGAAATTATTTATTATTAAAATTCGCAGAATTTTCTTACGTGTGTAATATATTAATTCGCACTTCGTTCTATAACGAGAAACAAAACACCTTTTTTGCCGAGAAATAAATATAATTTTAAAAAACAAACGTTTTCAGCCTAGTTAATAGGCCATTTTCAGGTCGAAAACTAGAATGAAACGTAAATGTTCCATGAATAGAACATAAACATTTTTAAATCAAAAATTTTACAAGAGAAAAAATTCGTTCTATAATACGAAATTAGCCAATTTCCGGCAGAAGAAATATATTTAGCTTAATTTTTCAAATAGTATTTTAATATTTAATTATGACTACGACAATAGACATGGAAGTAGATACAGATATTGAAGTGATGTCTACTACTCATCAAAACTTTGCCAAAATTACAGTTATGAATGACGAATACTTATTAGTACGTATATTAAAATTTTTAGATAATCGAAATTTGAAGCAGGCCATGGGCGTATGTCGATTATGGAGAAAAGTGGCAAAATGGATTTTTCATAGAAATAGAATACTCTTCGACGTCAAAGTAAGCATATGTTAAAAATTTATAAAGTAATATTTTTGAGTGTCTGTTTGTTTACCTTTATGTTAACTATTCCGAGTAATTAATCTCATCTATATCTATATCTATATCTATATTTATAAAAATAGACGTGTGTGTCCCTATATTTCACTTTTCCGCCAAAACTACACATCGCACATGAATGGTGTTTGTATGTGGTAGTAGCCCCAAGTCTCCATTCGTGCATAGGGGTGGTTGCGTCTCGATAGCTATAAGGGTGCGGGAGATATGAGGCTGAAAGTGGTTGAAAGTGGTTTTCTATTTCGAATGTTTTGTTCGAATTTGTTCGAATTAAATTCGAACATAAAATTCGAATATTGGTTCGATTATAGAACGATTGTAAACGTT